AGGAGCGAACACCAAACAGTGTCTTGTGCGATTCATCTGGGTAGCGCTACTTCCGGCCATTTCATTGCTTTCGTGAAGCGGGATGAGCCGCCATGTTGGTATGAATTGGGCGACACCACAAGAAGCGGATCGTGTTGGTCTGGCTGCGCCCCCTGGTGGACCTTGAAGGCACTTCCTTCTTTCCCGATGCTCAGGAAGACTCCATGCCCTGTCCCGAACCAGGTGGTGGACGAGCCTGTTCACCTGTCAGCTGAGGAGGTTTTCCCCCCAAAGGCCTGCTCCGGCTCGACAGGACAGACTCACCTGGGCAACCCAGCAAAAATCGTGCCAAATCGGGGGGTTGCCCAGGCGACATCGAGTACGAGTGTGCCCACTTGTGCAACTTGGCTTCCATTAGATGCTGCGGACCCTGCTGACACAGCTGCCGCTGACCACCGCCTGCAGCTCCTTCTCTCCCGCGTTGCCAATGTCCTGGAGCCTTGCGCTGCCACCTCCAGTGCGCCAGCCGCTGATCGGCATGAAGCACGCGGGTGAGAGGGTGTTGAGACAAATGTCTTCTGATTTGATTTTGACTTTGCCTGATCGGATCATGGAAACTGATCATGAGACTGGCGGATCGTCCCATTCTGGCTTTAGGCATGTTCAGTTTGCTTGCTCTGAAGCTAAGCTGAAGGTACTCCAGAGACACTTGGAGTCAGCAGGTCAGAGAACCTGTGAATGGTGCGAAACCCTGTGGGCGTGTGAGAAGAAGAAGAAGAAGAAGAAGAAGAGTTGTTTTTTTGTGGTTGTTGATTGTTGCGGTTGTTGTTGTGTGGTTGTGTTATTGTGGTTGTTGCTGTTTGCAATGTGTTAAATCAGAATGCCAATAATGGAACGCAACTTAGGCGGCATAATCAGCATTACGTCGTTATTTGTCTTTATCATTTTGTGTCAATGTGCAGAAGTCCGTGTGAAACACGGTGTGTTGAGGCAAGGTGTTGAAGGGCGTTGCGTAATGAAAAGCTAAGATCAGCCTTTGCCCAATAAGCGGCTTTGAGCTGCTTCCGGAGGCTAGCTTGGCATGACTTTTGACCAATGTTGGATCAAAGTTTGAGACGTTAGCAAAGACATCGTAGTGGTTTTGCTATTGTTGAGTGAAAATATCATTGTTAGCACCGTGCTCAAAACTGTGCAATTATGAACGCTTTTGGAAGCAAACGTAAAAGAAACACGGCAAAAACCACTGCTTTTTGCATCCCACGGCAAATGGTCGTAAATACGGCGCTCTTTTGCTTGCTGAGGATCAAACACGTCGATTTTTGTCCCCTAATTCCTAACGCAAAAACTAGTAGATGCCGTGTTGTTTGCAGAGTTTCATTGCCTGCACGGGTGCCCCAAAAGTGCTGTAGAGGGTGGGGGGTCTTCTTGGCGCGCGCGGGCAATCAACCAATGACCAACAAAAGCAACAAACAGGGACAGCGACACCAACTATTATGGCATCGCCAGCTTGCAGAAGCTCTACAATATATAACTTTACTCCGCTACTCCTGTGGTGAATTCTGGCCTGGAAGGTTGGAAACGAGCTTGAGGACATACACAGAGTTCTGGGACTATTGCCATCAGGATCCATGCTCCCTAATTCTGTTCTCGGGCGAATGATTGCCCCACATGATGTCATGGTGGCAGTGCCAAAAAAAGGATGTCAACTTGTGCTCTGTGGACTCTGTGGCTTACTGCAACGGATATGTCTAACTTTATTTGTGTGTGTGTGTGTCCAGTCATCCAATGTCACTGAAACCTTCGTTGTGTGACGTGGTCAGTTGCTTCTTGAGTACTGCATAGACTAGAACAAAATCTCAGTGTGCTCAAGAGGACCTGAAGACAGAATAAACAGAATGCGACAGAGAATTGGGTATCCATGACTGATTTCATCCAATGAAGGTCGATGCTTTTCTGCGTCAGAAGCTGATCAGCACACCTCCCTCAGCTCAGCTGTAGGAAAGATCAGTGCCCTCCATCGTACTTGACTCGGATACATCTTAAATGAAAATGCAGCGCTGCCATGCATTTCAATGCTTTGTAGAGTCTAGAGATGCTTCAATCTTTTGATTTGTTTTGGAGTGCGTCGCTGGAAAAAAGATACCTATCAATGGCGCCCACTCAAAGATTGCGATTGGCTGGAGGTCCTGGGCAGGCACGATCTGGCACAAGAAGACTCGGCTTTCGGCTTTGCTACCTCCCACGCAGGCACGTTCGTATATATCCATCAACCTCTGGTAACGCGAAGCCTCGGCCAAACACGGTCTCATTAGGCCCAGTGTATACAGCTTCATGGGGTGCCGAGGTCCCGCAAGCTCTGTGCAGGAAAGCGTTGCAAGTATTGAGGGCTTGGCTCGGGTGTCACGAGGCTCGCAGATTCTGTCAACCGCCAATCCAAGCATTACATGCAGACATTGAATTGAAATAGCAAGGATGCTACTAGGAGCAAAGGGCATCGCTACTAGGAGCAAGAAGCTACTAGGGGCTCCTGGCCATACTACTAGGAGCAAGCACGCTACTAGGAGCGTAACTCCCCCCAGACTCCAACATGTTCATGTTGTTCATGTTGTTCATGTTCAGGTGTATGTCTGTATATAGTCTCGAATCCTGCCAGGCCTTTCAGTAGGCTTTTCCTCAACTTTGGAGGAGACAGCAGAAGAGCCTCTTGCAAACACGGGACAAATCCTCAAGTCAATCGCTTATATATATATACCTCTTCGATAGCTGTTTGACTCCAAATTAGGCCAGCCTGGTCGGCTTGGTTGTGGCGAGGTGCTAACTACAAGCGGTGTCGCCTGCCTGCAGCAAGAAACCGTCTGAGTCAAACAGTCTGAGGCGAAAGGGTTCTGCTTTCTTGCTTTTTCCTTCCAATTTGCTGATGCCTGGATTCGCCTGCACTGAATGGCTTTGACCCGACCTTGCCACACTTGGTCTCTTCGGTATGAGTATGAGATGGAAACCCAGGGAAAGAGAGACTGCACACTGGCCAAGCCCTCGCCGCGCCTCTGGCAGTAGCAAAGGCCTCTCGCACCTATGTCACACCCCAATTTTGCAAAACTACGAGGCGCGTAGTTGTGAACTTGCGACTCAGCCCGTCTAAGACGGCTACGCTCGGGTCACGTACTTGAGGGCAGGATCTTGGCTGGGCGGCTCCTGCCAGCAGCTTCCCGCAAAAGGGTTGGCGTCAACCCTACAAGCACCTTTCGAGGCAGGGCACCGAGAGGTCCAAAGTGAATACCTGAATTGCAAAGACATCCAACTAAACTACAAACTCAAAACAATGCTATCCACCAAGAAGGCTGGGCTCACGATCTTTTGCCTGAGTGGAGCAAATGAGCCAAAGAAAATAAGAAAACAAGAACCCTATTAAGTTGTAGTGACGTGTCGTGATAGGTTTGGGTCTTGAATGTCTCACCGCCCATTACCATCCGAAGTAAACAGTAAACATTGAAGACGAACCCTCAGTCAGTTTCTGCGTACCCTGCTTCTTCCAGAATACTCGCTACCACTAGCTAACCGCTAGCTTACTAACGGGGTACAGGACTATCTCCCAAATAGCAGAACTAACCAATCAAAATAATTTGTATGCATGTGCATATACGGCGTGTATACACATGATGACAATTATATATATATATAACTATAGTACAATATGCAAACAAACTTCCTTAAAGGGATTTGTCTTTCGAAGCACTGACAGTACGGATGCTTACTTGAAGAGCTACTTGAAAAAAGAACAATGAAAAATCAAGTGCCATGCAAGTGGCAAGCTTGGAGAGGTCAAACTGGCGTGATTTCCACGCTAGATCAGCCTGTGCCGCTCTTTATGTGTGCTCTTGTTTTACTGGAAACGGATATAATGATGGCAAAGAGCTAAGGTAAGCATCCGAGCACTAGGTCGTTAAGAAGGGGGTAGGTATGTCCAAGACAACACATCCGTCGCTAGAAGAAGCGTTCTTGGTTCTGCCTCTTTCTCGATGACGTCAGCAGCATCCATGATGGGTTCCTACAAGCGTCCATTTCACCAAAACCACCATAATCGCTGGAACGCTGCTGCCACTGCATTTATACAAGCTTTCTCTGACGCGCCCACTAAGAGCCTCACGCTTTGTGAGAGCTTCGTCTGCTGGATCTACAATACTGCTGCCATTGCCGTGCTGAACACAGAACAGTGTGACGCTGCTACTGATACTTTTTCGAACTCTAAGGCCCCTTTTGGATCCGTTTGGTCTTTTGAGGTGACATTTCTATTTATATATATATATATACAGTCTTGACACTCGATTTTGTCGTTTTGGACTTGTCTACTTTATAGCCAGAATGAAGGTCAGGCCAGGAATTGCCCACCGTCTTACAATACTCCAAGAACAACTACTGGTTGTGACAAAGAAGAAGACTGCGACATCTCAGCATCCCTCGACCTGTTGTGGTCAAAAGACACTGCATTTTCAACTGGCAAGGCGAAAGGGTGTTCATCAGTCATCCTGCACGGAAAGCAAGGCAAGCTCGGGACCGAGACATAAATCTTTCAGGTTCTGGATCAAATACCCGCGGGCAAATGAAAATAGACACTTTCAAGCTTTCAACTTTCAACTGCTCAAATTGCCTCAGCAAGTTCAGGAAGGCTGCCTGAGCAAGCTTTGAGTAAACGAGTGCAGTAATGGTGCAGTCACAATGCATCGCCAGTCTGAGAACACCACGAACGCAAAGCGACTATGAATCCGAAAAGGCCGAAAGCGAGGCCAGCGAAAGCCTGGCATCTTCACAGGCTTTTTGACCGCGCAATTTGATGCAATTTGTGACAAGGCACAGAGATCAGGCAAAGGAGGTTCAAAGGTCTTCTTCTGAACTGCCTGAGTATGCCACACGCTGCATACACTGTGGTGTTTTTTCGAGTTGAACTGTTCGGGATTATGTGGCTCAGCATGTTTCCAAACTGCTCTCGCCTAGGCAAGCAAAGGTACATCATGGGCGGTGCAACAAAGCACACCGGTGTTGCAAACACCTGCACCACAATCTGAAAGCACAATGGGATGAGATCAAATCCCAAACTTTGCAACACCAGGATTGCCGGAAAGAGTATTGCAAGAAGTCAAGCAAGTTTGAGATGAGCAAATTGGAAGATGTCTATTGGCCATCAACACGCGACAGCTCGGCTGAGCCGTTGTAGGCCAAGACAGTGCCGATTTCTTTGGCAACAGCAGCCACACCTGTCACACAGCAGCTGCTGACCCATGTTCTCGTGCTACATCAGCACCAACATCCAGCGAGCTGTTGCCACAATTGAATGCTCTATTAGAAACAAGTGCATCGCTACTAGTAACAAGTGCCTTACTAGTAGTAACAAGAAGCTACTAGGAACAAGTGCATCGCTACTAGTAACAAGTTCATGCTTTGCAGGATGTTGACTCCGGCGCACCCAAGCAAATGGCTGTCAAGATGGTAGCTACCGTCACGCGCGACACTGTTGTTGTGGCCTCTGAAACTGTATGATTGGAAATGCAGACTGCCATAGCTAATTTGGTTCAAGCTGGTGAACAGTTTGTACAATAAATAAATATGATTGCTTTGCGGATTCACCTTTTGTTGCGCTTTCTAAGGCTGCCACGCACCCCAATGGCTCCAAAACCAAATTGCAAGCTGCCGCCCTGATAAATGCAAAGTGGATCAAAAGAAGAAGAGTAGAGCGCAGCTGATCAGCAGCAAATTGAAGCTCGTCATACACCCTTTTTTCATCAAACAAATGATCCCTTGAAACAATAATTGTCTTGCTGCAGCAACTGAACGTGAATCACTGAAAAACACATGTGCAAACAAAGTGAGCGCACGCATGTGCAATCTGACACTCCCGGCCTCGCGGACATCATCATTAAGGCAAAAGAACTGCATATCCTAGGTGCACTTGAGACAGTTTTGAAAGACACGAATACAGAAAGGAACTGAACACGGATCAAAGACATCATCATCACCACCACCATCATCATAATAATAATAATCATCATCAATCAAGTAATCAATCAGAGTCCGTCAGTCAGTCAGTCAGTCAGTCAGTCAATCAATCAATCAACCAATCAATCCATCGATCAATCGATCGATCAATCAATCAAAAAACCAATCAACCAACCAAGCAATCAATCAATGATCGTCACTCATTGGATTAGATGATTAGAACTCGGTGTCTTCAAAATGTACAAATGTGCCAAAGCAGGAGCTACCAACGTGCTTGGTCCATTTTCTTGAATAAGTGAAATCTGAAAATACTGTACCTGCTGTAGATATATAGTTCTTTCTTTATCGCTGATCTCACAGGCAAGATCTCCAGCTTAAAACGATCTAAAATAACATGTCATGAAAATTTTGTTTTGCAGGTCACAAACAACGCTTGATTCCACTTAATTGTGGGAAGAAGTAGGTGGTTACAATAATTGCAATCTGCACACCTTGTGAAAGCAGTAGTGACGTAAACACGGAGACTTGGCCGGCAAACGCGCATGTCATGGTCAGGCGAAGCACCACCTCAGGCAACTTGTGCAGGCCGCAAAAATCTGAGAAGTCACTGCGCAGCTTGAACTGTTGTAGTCTCCAGAGAATTGTGAACATCAGCAACTCATCTAGTTGCACAAACGGGGTTGGTGAACAAAATCCCGTGGTCACATCAAGTGCCTGGATCCATAAGAGCCCCACAAGAAGCTGGTCATCAGACCGAAAGTTTTCTGAAAAGTCGCTCTTCGTCTCGGATCCTAAGGAACAAAGCAATGGCCTCCAACCTACTAGGGATGGCCTCCAACCTACTAGCGATGGCCTCCAACCTAGTAGCGATGGCTGGCTGGTTCAAATTTGCACTGTCCAAGGTCTGAGGTACAAGCCAAAAGTAGCATACACTATCATGCCGACCCCTGAACAATTCCGAACATAACAGGACTAACAGGATTGCAGCATGACTTACAAGATTCATTTGAATCGTAGCTCTTCTTCTTCCTCTCCCGCTACCAGTCTCTGAGCCCGTGACAGCCATAAACTATACAAGCAATGGTCAGAGACCAAGTGATGACCTTGAAACATACGGAGCAGACTTGCAATGGATGGTTCCACCTTCACACAGGATCAAGAAACTTCCGATTTCCAGCAGCCAACCTTCATCATCTTCCGAAAGTCTTCTTGTCCCGCCTGTACCAAACACGTGCATCCAATTTCTCTCAGGGCATATCCAGCCCTCATTGTCCACGTCTTGGTTGTGCAACAGCCATAATTTGTTCTTCTGCTCTACTGTACACACTTTCACCTCAATCCAAATGAATACTTTGCCTGCCTGAGTTCTACCCCAGTTCGGGGTCTTGGCACCAGGAGCAACCTCTTTGTACAGAAGGGGAATATTGGTATGAGCTCCAAAAGCACCTTGGCTCGTCAGAGCAAAGATAGAAAACAAGGACTCATGATGCATAGTGATTCTTTTCATCTATGGTCGAGGACCGAGGGCCATGATTTCAGTCTTTAGGTATATAGTCATTGGTCCATTGGTGGAAAAGCAAAAGTCATCTGTCCGCCAACCCCAAGCAGCTGGAGTCTTTAGGCAGAAGAGCGGCCAACAAGTATCGGGAAGCAATGCCCAAAGGTACTTGGCTCAAAGCTGGAGAGGTGCGGAGGACCTGGAGAAGTACTGTGCTCCAGGGCCAATCAAAGGAGACTGATAGCATCCATCAAATCTAGTCACTAGTCTCAATGTCTTCCCTTAGTATCCTTTCACTGGCTCGATGTTGGATTCCTTAACCACTTATCATGACGATGCAGTTCAATCTTGCATGAGATCGTCAAGCCTGAGGCATCGAAGTAAGATCCATCCCAGTAGCGCACCGCCGAGACTAGAGCGCAGAATAAGACACTCGCCAGTCCCAAAGAGCTCATCCATCTGGAACGGTGTAAATCAGCAAGGCATGGTTCACAATACCACAAAACACCCCACTTGTACTTTCATGCCTCATCCGATGTAGTCCAACACTACCAGAGGAACAGCAATTTGTGCTCTATATAGTCTGAAACTCTGAACCTTCAGTCGCGACAAGAGTTCCCCACCTGAGGAACCCGAGGGTTGGAGCGCATGACAAAGGCCAACAAATGAAGACCACCAACGCAGCCATGCACTTTTGCTTGGACAGCCAATGGGCCCAGCCAAATTTTTCTGCGAGTGCAAAGGAAAAGTCCCCAAGAACGATGACGTAGCCTCCAAAGGCACCAAGCAAAGTTCTAGAATCCCTCGCCTTCCACCAACCAAAAGCTGTGTAGACTGGTGGCTCTTAGACTACAAAAGTTGCTGGTCTAAGGACTTGCAGGCCAGTCACTGATACACAAACCGATGTTGGTGCACAAGACCCATATCCTGAGATCAGATCTTGCTATGCTATGACATGCCATGACTATCACAGTACAAAAGCAACATCCCAACTTTGTTCAAAACAACACATCCTAGTAGCGATGGATATGTTGCTTCCAACCTAGAAGTCAAAAGAAGCAGTTCGATGTCAGGCAAGCTGCTCGGCCCACAACGCGGTTTTTTGTCCAGCTGTCTGGCGGGCAGCTCCGTAGTAACCTGAGCAACCTCCAAAATAAGCACTACGAGCGCGCCCTGGAGGAAGCAACAAAGGCACCTTCTCCAAACAATTTCTGAACTAGGCCATCCACTGAAGGTCCCCAAGGTGTTGCTCAGAAGCACCAAGACTGACATGGTGAAGATGGAGAGAAGGTAGACAAATACTAGCAATGTCAAGCCTGATCAAGTGAGTCAAGTGAATTACGTGACAAGTGGCGAGTGGCGATCGACGAAAAAAGACGTGCTAAGCCTCCAAGTCCTCCAGCTGTGCACATCGCATATGGAAGAGCCAGTACCCCGGATCCCAGCACATTTTGCGTCAATGTCGTTATTGCAGCCTGAGAGCTCACAAGGACAACGTGTGCATTTCAAGGGCAGAGTGCTAATAGAGCTGGGATGAGCTGGGTTTCAACAGGAGGTTCTTCCAATCTTCCACCCGTTCTGATCGTTTCTTTCCTTCTGTTGCACCCATTACTATATATGATGCTCCCTGTTGTCCGTTTTTCTTTCTTTCTGTTTGTTTAACTATATGCTTTTCAACCAAGGCACTCTTGTTGACAGCCCCACTTCAGGTGCAAGGCAAGGTGGGTTTTCTGTGGACAGGCACTGCTCTGAGCGCTGTTCGGACGAAGACCCGGACATGGCAGACATGTGGCAAAACGTGGCGAAACCGTCGAGAGCGAATGTCCAAAAATTGGTGGTGCCGCCAGGCCAATGGCCAATATATGCCAATATCCTTTATCCAACGAACTGACTTGACACTGTTGGTAGACGAGGTGAGAATAGACATCATGACAGTCTGGAGAGAGTAACAGAAACAGCTTCGTCGCGCAAAGTTGAACTGGTAATCAGCATGGACAACTTCGTCTGGGTTGCCCCGATATCAATCATGTTATCCACCCCCCCAAGCTGGGACGAGATTGCGGATCAAGAGAAGACGCAAGCGGCGACAACCTTGCTGATCGGAGAAATTAGGTCTTTGATGAACTGCATCGGCTGAGGTGGCGTTCTGTGAGATAGACTACTGAGTGACTACTGTGTTGAAAAATGTAGATAAGGTGAAATCAATAGAGATCCAATGAGGCTCAATTTCACTCACATCCTTGGATCCAATGAAAGAAGCTCGATATTCCTCCGGCTTGAATTGTAGGTCAGGGCGGCAGTATTGCTATTGCTGCAGCTGTATTCATGGTGCTTAACATCACAAGACAGGACTCAAAATGCATGCTTCCGTCACCTTCAATTGCCAGGAGATGCTTGTTTCTCTGCGCACCAGTCATCAATGCGGTCATGCATCGCTCCGCCGGCTTTACCACACAGAGCGGGGGCAGTGTCATAGTTTCATCCTTGCACTCTGCATGGCATGGCTCTGCATGGCCCGGCTAAATCTCCATAGCTGCGGAAACAATGGCAGCTACACGTGAGACAGGCTCCATTCACTCAGGGCAGCTCTGCAAACTTCTATTCAAACAACTGCCCTCCAGCGACTGCAAATCTTGGAGAAGGACGTATAATGAGTTTCTGCTCCCTGGTGAGACGTCGATCTCAACGTGGGACTGCCACCATCCGCGCTGCATCCGCAAACAAGCCAGTTTCAGGCTTGAGTAACAATTCATTGGCGTGCGCAGGCAAGCATGCATGTTTGTTTTGCAACATGTAACGTGGGCCTATCCCCGCAATATCTCGCAAAGCTGTTCAAGTGGCGCTGTTAAGCAAGAAATGCATTGAAGCTATTGTTGTAAGAGTCGGCTGTTCGAGTTTGACATTGCTAGCCGTCAGGGCAGCACCTGAAGTGGCCACACAGAAACAAATCTGAAAATCTCGACCAAGAAATTTCTGGAGCGCTCAACTATGCTCTGGGCTTAGGAGTCGTCATTCAGCATCATGGCCACGCCCTGCAACACCCAAATGCTGGGATGCTCCTTCACGAGGAAAACAGATAATGCAGAATGCATCGGCATGTAGCACAAGTATGTAATAGTGCTCTGTCCTGGAAACCTGATGTGCAGAATGCTGAAGCGCTGTTTCTAGCTGGCTTTGCAGCGTTTGAATTCGGACGAACATCTCCGCAGCTCCTTGGAGTGAAGATTTGCCTCGAAGACCAGACCTACTCCCATTGCATTTCGCCGCAGTTGCGTAATGTACACCTTGGCTGATCATGGAGTGCGCTTTCAGGACGCAGACATGGACATGGTCACAGAGGGGCGTGTCCTAAACCTGAATTCCCTCTATCAGCAACTGTCTGGCAATGTGTGCAGAACTGCTCCAGTGCACGTGTTAGTGTGTGAAAACAGACTTAGTGACTCCAAGATTTCCAAGCATACAAACCAAAGTGTTCAAGCCTTCCTCTTTGCCAACTCAAGTCCTCCACAAAAAGGGGAAGACCTTGTTGGAGAAGGAACTCTGCATTTGGCAGCTCTTCTGCCAAGCAAAGTGGCATGAAACTGCCAGATTTTGTACATGCTAGCGGATGGAACTGTTCATCAATGCCCAGTTGATTGGTCTCGGCTACAGCCAAGGCATGGCAATACAGAAACAGCAAATGACATCCTACTGCAGTAAAATTGTAAACAAATCAAGATCTCAGGACCTGGCGTCTTAATTCCAGGATCCGATCGCTGTTGGGATGCTCCACAAAGAGGATCACCTTCATCAGTCTAAACTCGAAACATGCTATTCCTGACTCCTTCGCAACTGCATGATGTACTCCCAAGATAAATTTCTGGCCATCTAGAGCCACAGTGAGATAACTGAGATAACAATGACATCTCAATGCGTGAGAATGAGAATGAGAATGAGCTTTTGGATTCGACCTTCAAGAGAATGCCAATGACCGCAAATTTAAACTCAATGTTGCCCGCATTCCCGATGAGTTTCAACTGCTTGAAGACTGCTGAGAAAGACTCTTCGTGCTCACCTGAACGAAATAAACCACCAAAGAAAGTTCTGGCTGCAATTGTCCGATTCTGACGAAAAGCACGGCCAAACAAGAAGGGCAATACAAATTACAGTAATCCTAATTGCTTTATCCAAGATACTGCTCTCTTCAATTTTTAACTCCTTGGCACAAGGGCACAAACTTGTGGAGACAAAGAACCCGCACAGCAAGTAGCCAGCTGTTTGGTATCCTTAACTCTGCGTGGCTCAGCCAAGCTTCATCTGGAAAAGCCAACCAACGTCTTTTCAGCTCGGTGCAACTTGCTCTGATCGGCAAAACGGCACCCCTCTGATCTGCCTTGTTTGCTGTTCAGAGGGCCAACAGTATTCAGGCTTGAGCATCAGTATTGTATGTAGCATGTAGTACAGATTAGTACAGTAATAGACTGGTGAGACAAAACTTTCCAGTCAGGCAAAACACCCAAAGACCATGCGTGTCAGACTGTGACTGATGTGCTTCTCCATGCGCTTCACTTTCGCTCTCGTGACCATGGCTCCCATGGCTCTGGTGCCCATGGCCATGGTGAAAGAACTCTTCCGAAAGTTTGCAGAAATAGGAGTGGTTGTCCTCAGCGTCGGTTTCGACCGGACCAGCAAGCCTTCATCAAATTTTGCTCCTAGTAGCGATGCCCTTTGCTCCTAGTAGCGTCCTTGTTCCTAGTAGTAATGCCAGGAGCCCCCAGTAGCGTCCTTGCTCCTAGTAGTATGGCCAGGAGCCCCTATTAGTAGCGTCCTTGCTCCTAGTAGTAAGGCCAGGAGCCCCTAGTTGAAGGATTCTGACCAAGGATCGAAACTTGAAGCAGGATTCTGGTATGCACAGCGATGGTCCAAAGCACACATTTTCCAAAGGGTATGTCCTGCTTTCTTGCCCCCTATGCTAATTTGTGCTACGATGCACGCACTCTCTGCCATGCTTTTGCAGAACACCAGGATCGGCCCAAAATGACATTTCCTCAGTAACAGTCCTCCCTCTGCATTCACATCATGTGGCGAAGGAAAGGAACAGCAGCCTCAACTTTCCGGAACTCTGGGCAACTCGCAAGAGTGAAGGGAACTTTTGCAACTTCGCCTGGCATTGCCGACGCAAATTCGCAGTCCTCAACCAGCTGAAAGTGGAGGAAGTCTTCTGCAACGACTGCCAGAATTAGCCTTGAAATCTCAAGAGTCGAGCGACGGAGTGATGTTTATTGTGGTCCATGCGAATCAAACAAAGCAGAACAACAAGCATCTTCCTTTGTTTAGAAATGTCTGCAATGTATGGCTGGGAGGCCACAAGCAACGCCGAGTCCACCCACGCAAGGGCGGCTGCTTCCAACATGCAAAGGTAAAAACCGCAATTCCCAAGTTGAAAGCCGAGTGGAGAATCTGCAGCATCCACTGTGTGTACAACCTCTCTGCCTGGGGTTCATCATGTAAGTGCATACATCAACAGGGCCCAAATGCACACAGAATCATTGCATGTGTTCAACAGAGTCCAAAAGATTGAAGAGAAATTTCAGCTGCAAGGTCACATACAAGTCATAGATTTCGACAAGCGAATGTCCAGAGGCCGCAATGAAAGTCACCAAAATCATGAAGGAGTCTAGATCGAAAAGCTTCCTGGCGACCAAACTTCTGCCAAACATGGAATGGATCCAAATCTTGAGTCCTACGAACCCTGGCTGGCACTTGGGTCATTCAATCTCACTGTGAATCTGGTGAAAGCTTCTTGGAATAGGCTACACACCTCGTGCAAGGTGCGGTCGATCGAAAAGTATCAACATCGCCAAGGTGGGTAGCCAAATTTTAAGGGTGCATGTCCTGTGGAGTGAGTGGCTGACTATTCGGGATGATGCGTTTGCCCTCCAAGCTTGAAAGAGGACATCCACATGTGAAGCCAAACTACGGAAGACAAATGTTTCCGGCCTATAGCATCCTATAGCAGCATCCTATAACTTCATTATTCATAATACTCATGGTGTAATGGAACGGTACGACCGGAGATAGGCTGGCAGCCGCGGCCAATGAACACCTGAAGACGGACAACAAGAAGGCAATAGAAGAAGACAGGAGGACAGGACCAAAAAAGATTGTGACAAGAGGAGAGAGGAGGACATCCGGACAGGGCTCGCCGGCGTGGCCTGACACTGCGGCCAGCTTCTTGTTTCCTACCCAAAGAACCCCGCAATATGAGGACAACAGGAGGACAACAGGAGGACAAGGAGAGGACATCGGCTTCTGGGGTTGCTTTCTGGAGTTGTCAGTTGTCTTTCTAGTGCCTCTGCTTTGTAGCGTGGCTGCCACGTGGCCATGCTGCGGTACTGCGGTCTTCGCGCTTGACGGCTGGCGCTTTCCCCCTGCGTGCCACACAACCCTTGCGCGTGTGCACTTGCTTTCTCGCATTGGACCCTTTGGGGCCGGTGCTTCGCGCGCATTCTGTGATCTGGACACCAGCAGAAGGACAACAAGGGGACAACAGGAGGACAAGAAGAGGACAAGAAGAGGGCACGGAGAGGACAACAAGAATACAACAAAAGACAAGGACTAGAGACGGGCTAGCAGCCGTGCTCAGCTGGAAGAAGGACAAGGAGAGGACAACAGGAGGACAACACCCGGACACAGCGTTCACCGGCGCGGTCAGAGACTGCGGCCAGCTTCTTTTTTCCTCAAGAGAGAACCCCAACAGTAACCTGTTTGGGAAAATATACCAGCATAGACCCCAAACAGTTTCAAAACGATTCGTTTAGACCAATATTAGTCAAACATCGATTTCTTGGTACGCCCCACTTTCACCCCAAGAGCAAACTGCTTCATCAATGGATTTTTGTCGGCATTGACACCGCTATTTGTTCAGCCACACTTCTCTCCAGTAAGCCGGGCCACAGAGACCAGCCACAGAGTTCAGGGGCGCGGCCAAGACAAGGACAAGAGGAGGACAAGACCCGGACACAGAGCCGGGCCACAGAGCCCAGCCACAGAGATCAGGGGCGCGGCCAAGACAAGGACAAGAGGAGGACAAGGCCCAGCTACAGAGCCCAGCGCAGAGGACAAGAGGAGGACAAGAGCCCAGTAAGCCGTCCATAGCACACGAGCGCGCGCGAGCGCGTGCGCGCGCGCGGCGCTCGCCCTGCTCTTTCTACCTCTCTCTCTCTCTCTTTCTCTCTCTCTCTCTCTCTTTCTCTCTCTCTCTCTCTCACACGTTCTCTTTAAGTTTCTCTTTCTCTGTCTTTCTCTCTGCAGAGCGCGCCCTGAGCGCGCCTTTCTGGGGCGTATTTCAGCGCGCGCCAGAGCGCGCCGTCCAAAGCACACGGCGCGCGCGCGCCCTGCTGTCTTTCTTTCTTTCTTTCGTTCGTTCGTTCTTTCTTTCTTTCGTTTCTTTCTCAGAGTTGACAGAGTTCAGGAGGACAAGGCCTGGACACAGAGCCCAGCCACAAAGCCCAGCCACAGAGTTGACAGAGTTCAGGGGCGCGGCCAAGAGGAG